GAGCACTCCTTACCGCGCCACACTAATGCAGTCGTGATGTCACGCCTGGTGAGAGTGGGGAGACTCAAAACGTTCCTTCAGGAGAGGCCTTCAAGCACCACGTTCTATATCGGCCCTAAAATGTTGACGGTTTAAAGTGAGTGAGTGTGTGTGTGTGTGAGGGGAGGGGGTATTGGGGGTGGTAAGTGTGATGTAGGTCAGCATTGCCCAGGAGATGAGTGATGTAGATAAGTTTTGTCCAGGAGATAGTGACTAGATTATATTGTATAGGAAGTATATAAGTGTGATTGTAAACGGTGTAGGAGCCAAGTGTGATATGTATAGGTCTATTGTGTCCGGGAGATGAAGGTGTGACTATAGCTTATATTGCATAGGAGATGACGTGTTATAGTAGACCCCTTTTATGGTGAAGTATATAACACTAGTCTGTATAAAAAGGTAAGGTATATTTTTCACTTGCGATTAAATGAACTATTACTAAGTTTATATAGGTGGCGGGGTTGATATAAATTCCACTAGGAGAGAGAGAGAGAGAGAGAGTGTGAGAGAGTGTGAGTATTCATTAACCTTTACCATCATTATTCTCGCGTGAAAGTTGAAAATGTTTATATTGTTTGGCCGGACAATGAAGGGGTATAATAGACATCGGGTCCATAAAGTGTGTTTCTTGCCGTCAGAGTCCTATATTTAACCTGGGAGATATTTTGGTCGTGGCCGAGTTTATATATATATATTTTGCCCTGTGTGTGTGTTTGAGGGTACAGTACAGGTATTGGAACTCTCAGGTAATCCCAGTTTGACGTTTTCATCTTTGTTAAACACGCATCCCATTTAAACATTCAGAACCTTGTCAAGGGATTAAGTATCAATCCCCTGTGTGATGTACATAGAAACTCTTGACACAGTAGTTGTAGTAGCATTCATTAGCCGGCTTGTGTGTGTGTGTGTGTGTGGCAGACTAATGGAATGGTGTGGCAGTAGCCGAGGGTCTCAACTCCTGGATTGGTTTGGATATTATTTATTATTCACTGGAGTAAGTGTGCGCGCGTGTAAAGAAACAGAAAATGGCAGGATAGGTATGTTGAGGTTATTCATTAATTTTCCCCTGAACAAACTTTGTGTAAATATACTGAACTTTTATTATTTATTTATAATCTGTTGAAGAAGATAAGGTCATACTTGGCAGCTACTGTGAAGATAAACTAAGGTAATATTAGGATTCAACACCCCTTTGATCTGCCGCGTATAGGCCTAGTTATTATTAGTGTTACTGGCGGTAATTAAGGTGATGAAAGAAAGACGCCAATCTTTTATCCTCGTCACGGAAAATGGGAGTTGGCTGCACTTATCTTTGTCTGTCGGTATATATGATAATATCCACTGGAAAAGGGGAGGCGACTATCTCGTGAGATTCTACGGAAAGGTTAAGTTAAAGTGCGTATACAGAGGAAACTGAAGAAGAATTAAACTAAATCAACCACTTGAGTACTTGACAACATTAATAAAACTCACATTTCGTATTTATATTTTTTTTTATCTTGGTATTAAAAAATGAGGTAGAGGCAGCGAACAGCTCACTCAACCTCCAGCTGAAAAGATTGACCCAGAGAGTTAAGAAGATTGCAGATGAATAGGATTATGGAGTTAGGTGGTTATAGGTGTTTGTACACACACTTCATCATTCAGGGGGTTTACGCACTTTTTCACTTGGTAAGAGGATGATCAATGTGTTAAGGAAAGTGGTGGTAAATACTTCTCAAAAGAGTTAATTGGAGTTGATGGTGTGTGTGTGTGTGTGTGTGTGTGTTGATGGTGTGGAGTGTGTGTGTGTGTGTGTTGATGTGTGGTGTGTGTTGATGGTGTGGTGTGTGTTGATGGTGTGTGTGTGTGTGTTGATGGTGTGTGTGTGTGATGGTGTGTGTGTGTGTGTTGATGGTGGTGTGTGTGTGATGGTGTGTGTGTGTGTGTGTGTGTGTGTGTGTGTGTGTGTGTGTGTGTGTGTGTGTGTGTGTGTGTGTGTGTGTGTGTGTGTGTGTGTGTGTGTGTTGATGGTGTGAGTGTGTGTGTGTGTGTGTGTGTGTGTGTGTTGATGGTGTGGGAGGTGTGTGTGTGTACATGGTGGGAGGTGTGTGTGTAAAGGATGGTGGAGTGTGTGTGTGTTGGATGGTGGAGTGTGTGTGTTGATGGTGTGGGAGGTGTGTTGATGGTGGCGTGTGTTGATGGTGTGAGTGTGGGAAGATGGTGTGAGTGTGTTTTGATGGTGAGTGTGTGTGTGTGTGTGTGTTGATGGTGGGAGGTGTAAGGATGGTGTGTATGTGTTGATGGTGTGAGTGTGTGTGTGTGTTGATGTGAGTGTGTGTGTTGATGGTGAGTGTGTGTGTGTTGATGGTGTGGGAGGTGTGTGTGTGTGTGTTGATGGTGTGGAGGTGTGTGTGTTGATGGTGGAGTGTGTAAAAGATGTGGAGGTGTGTGTGTTTGATGGTGTGGAGGTGTGTGTTGATGGTGGAGTTTTGTGTTGATGGTGGAGTGTTGGTGGAGTGTGTGTTGATGGTGGAGTGTGTTGATGGTGTGAAGTGTGTGTGTTGATGGTGTGGAGGTGTGTGTGTTGAGACAGTGGAGGGGAAGTTGATGGTGAGTGTGTTGATGGTGAATGGTGTGTGTGTTGATGGTGGAGGTAAAAAGTTGATGGTGGAGTGTGTTGATGGTGTGGAGTGTTGATGGTGAAGTGTGTGTGTGTTGATGGTGGAGGTGTGTTGATGTAGGGAGGTGTGTTGATGGTGGAGGTGTGTGTGTTGATGGTGGAGTTTGAGTGTGTGTTGATGGTGTGGGTGTGTTGATGGTGGGCGGTGTTGATGGTGTGAAGTGTGAGTGTGTGTTGATGGAAGATGGTGCAAGGTGGTGTGATTGTCAGTCGAATAATGAACACTTCGATATATTTGACGATTTACCTTTTGGCTCTACTGAATTATTATTATTATTAACTATCTTACATTTAACTTTTTCTTACTCCATCTGTTGTTGTATGACGTCAGCACAGACCTTAAGTACGACGTAAGATCGGGGAAGACAAAGTGCTACTCTCAAGACGCTAATTGAGGGGAAGCGAGAGAATGGTTTTGATAAAGTCACTGCTCTGTGTGTGTGTGTGTGTGTGTGTCTGTGTGTGTTTGTGCGTGTGTGTGTGTACATTTTAGAACAAGTTTTACACAAGTGGAAGATCATATACTGTGGAGGGAAGACAGACAGATAACAAGAACGCAAAGAGCGCACCTCAGTCTATACACGCCCTTAGTATGTCATGTCTACAGTTCCTCCTCCCTATATTATGTGTTCCAGTTTATACACGAAGGTACACTATAGCTTCAGTAGTCGTTATCTTAGGTTATTGGAGACCGCCCGACCGACTGGTAAGAACTAAATATTATCTCGTTGTCTCAAGTGGGTCTTCTCCACCCTCTCCTTCATCCCACTTTGGTTTTGCGCGACGCTTCTCACTTGTTGCTCCCTAAAGTTCAAGTTATTTGAAAAGTGGTGTCGAGGATATCAGTGGTGTGTGTGTGTGTGTGTGTGTGTGTGTGTGTGTGTGTGTTAATGTATTGTTACAGAGATGAGGGAGGGAGGGAGCTTTAAACCTTTTTTTTTTATCTTAGTTCGCTAGTTTTATTTTATTTTTCGGTGGTTAATCTAATCTTGAGGTGTAAGTATTCGTTCGCTAGATGTGCTTTATAATGTAGTAAAATGTGATTGTTCTCGCAGGCCGGTAAATACTGTAGTGTGTGTGCGTGCGTGCGTTGTTAAAGGTCGGGGAACTATGGTGTGTAAGATGCTTGGTGTGGTCTGTGTGGTGTTGGTTATCACAACACGTGGGTACTGTACCGGATCTTTTGGAGGTTGAGGGCGATGCATTTGTTGACATGGATAAAGGCGAGTACTAGCCAGACGTGCAGTACCCCATGCCCGTGTTAACTGGTGTGTGTTGAACACCGGTAAGGACTTAATGATAGGATTTGTTGGGCTAACATTGAACACTAAAGAGGGGTCGTGTTTTTGTTAATAATATGGGTTTATTAAGTAGTGTTGTAATTACTGCATTTAAGAGAACTGTGAGATAGTGTGTTTGTATGGGTAGATGAGAGTTCTTATGAGATACTTTTTGCTGTTGGTATTTCATAATACATTACAGAGGTGTTAGTGCTATCGAAGGCAAGTTCTCCTCTTGTAACACACACACACACGTACGTACGTACGTTATCTGTGGCGGCATGTTGTACCGGAAGACATTAAATATGCACCACGAGAAACTTGTTATCGTTGGCAGCTGGTGCATTTGCCATCACCAGACACTTGCTCGCTTTGTCAACTGTTTATACCACGAGGTACTTATTTTCTCCCGGCCTTGTACTTGTCCACCGGGTAAACGGACGCAGCAGGTTGACTCGACTAACACTTGCTATGTAACTACTGTACGGTAGCTGTTTGTACCACCAAGTTCCCCTCCGTGTCTGGTAGCTACAGTACAGTACCTGCTGTTTACCTCTTCACTCGAAAGTTGATCTGAGAGCACTGCTCGTTGCTTACAGGCTGTGTGTGTTGCACGGTGCTGCCGTTAACAGTGCAACACTTGAGTTATGTCTGGCAACCTTTCACCCTTGTGCATAGTCTCAATTTCTCGTGTATATATATATATATATATTGATTGCACCAGACGTTTAACTGTTGTGGTACACTTGAAGGTTCCCGGTGTGTCTTGTCTCCTCACCACGGCCACTTTAATTTTCCTCCCACATTCCTTGCGTCACCCACTCCAGTCAGCTAGTACAATATACAAGAAAACTTGAAGGAAAATAATGGTGTTTCATCACGCGCGCCGCCCTGAACTCTTCGTTAGGTGTTGATGACGTCACTGTCAGCCAGGACCATGACACGTAGCTTCACCTCGTGTAAGGCACTGTTGTTTACGTCTGCTGGCACCCCTCCTTCCATCCCCATGTTGTATACGCCTCTGCGGCCAATGGACATATCGCCTGTGGCTCCCCTCCTTGCACACGACGCCTGCGGCACCCCGGTGCTCATGCCCACAGCTCCCATGTACACGTCAAAGACCCGCATGGAAGCTGCAGCAAGCAAATAGGAAAGCGAGATTGGGCACCCAACACATTCAGTGATCCATATTACCACCGCTGACAGAAGGTTGGTCACAGTAGCACTAAGATGATCACTATTATCCTGGCCTCCGACTTTACCAGGAAGGTTAGGTTGACACAAGTAGAGGTAGTGAAAGGGAAGGCTCACACGAGATAGACAAGCTGTCAGGGCAGTAGACAGTAGCATTCCAGAAAATTATTATCGGGATTGGAGACAGTAAAGGAGATGTGTGGATGTTAAGGCAGCTTACAGTGTGTCCCCGGCGAGAAGTAAAGTGATGCAGCCGACCTAAGGGATCCATAGAGCGCAGAAAACACTCGGGATTAGTTGCCTCAAGTCGGTGGAGGTTAAACGACTTAGCAGGAAGAACCAGGCGTTGTAAGGTGTTGGGCTTTCACAATTAAGGTGGATCCTTTGTTCTCGCTGGGCTGTAAATTGGAACTTGGAAACTCCTCTTCTCTTGGCATATTCAGGCGCACGAGGCTGTCCTAGATCACTGGTGGGTCGGGCAGTAATGAGGAGGTCTTATTAACATACACATCTGTCTAGTTTCCTCCGCAAAAGAAATTGAGATGAACGCATGACATTGTGGCAGATTTTCTGGTGTTGAAGATGGTCCTCTTGAGTTTATGGTAGACGCGGGGAGACCGTCGTACTGTAGTCCAGGAATAAAACTACCGAAACCCGTGACCTTGGCGCTGGCCGGAGTGTAGCTAAGTTGTGTTCATTAGACTCCTAACTTTGGCTATAATTTGATGGTGTGCTGCATGGGCCGTTGATTCTGTACACAGTATGCTGGCAAGGGTAATTTTCTGATAATATACACGACATAACTTTCATTATTGCTCAAAGGCCCTTATGAGGGACAAAATCACAATTTCACGAGGATACAATAACACAGTTGGCTTGGTGATCGATGGGTTGGGTGTTGTCACTTTGATTGCTTGTTACCCTGGACGGACGAGTACAATAGCATTCACCGAGCGAAATTTACGTGATTGGGATAGAGGGACAGGCACTTAATAATGAAAACTGTACGTTCAGGAGGGGAGCGACGCTTTGAAGGATGACACCGGCTCTAACAACACTTACAGCCAAACGTGAATTATCAACAGTCGCTCGCTGATGTAGAGCATTGTAGTGTATAGTGTTGGGACAGTTGCCGTAGTAACGGAGCGTATAGCCAGTTGTAAATGACGCGCACACCATCCATAGCTATAGGTGTTAGCAGGTGTGTGCTGCGCGAGACGGTGTGTGGATGTTTACTCAGTGAGAACCTCATACGGCCTATTGCCACTCTCAACACTTTAGAGAAATAATTTAACATACGTATAATCCTCTGAAAACAAGGATAATAATGGCCTCTCCGAGAGATAGTCAGGAACATTAAACTGCAGGAAGAGAGAGAGAGAGAGAGAGAGAGTGTGTGTGCGTGCGTGCGCGTGCGTGCGTGCGTGCGTGCGTGCGTGCGTGTGTGTGTGTGTGTGTGTGTTTGTTTGTTTGTTTGTGTTTACAGATGTTTCAGGCAGCACAAGCACCCTCAGAGGCACAGGGCAAACACAAGGCTCGTGCACACTGCCTTGCATGCACAGTAACACGAATACACAGCCGCGTCTTCTTGTGCTCAGTTGTTCACTATGTACCTCAGAGCATAGTATACCTGTCTTCACGTATATAGTGTGTGTGAGGGAACAACGAAATGTGGTGAGACAGATGACTGCACGCGTCACCTGCTCCCTCTACCTCCCCTCCCTCCACACCGTCCACGCTCTCTCTCTCTCTCTCTCTCTCTCTTCATTCGTCACCTGTTCTCCGCTTCCACCCTTATTTCCCTCAACATCCCCTCGCGTTCCTCCACCCCTCTTTAAATTCTCGTTGACTGTACATTGAGGGTGTAGAACAGTGTACATCGCATGGGGTATGAAACACTGCACAAATTTAGGGTATGTAACAATGTACACCGTGTGCATCTAGGGTGTAGAACAGTGTACTTGAAGGGTGGTTTGAAAGTGTACACCACGTTTTGTATATCTAGCTAGGGTATGGAACAGTGTACACAGCAAATATCGAAGAGTGTGTAAGCGAACGGCGAGCACTTGTAGGGTGTGAGGGCCGGGGTAACAGGTAGGGTGTGAGGGCCGGGGTAACAGGTGGGGTGTGAGGGCCGGGGTAACAGGTGGGGTGTATGAGGGCCAGGAGTAACAGGTGGGAATGTGAGGGGCCGGGGTAATAGGTAGATTAATGAGGCCGAGAGTAACAGGTGGGGTGTGAGGGCCGGGGTGGCACAGAGTGGAGTGTGAGGGCCGGGGTAGCAGGTAGGGTGTACACGACGTCAGTAATAGGTTTTGCCTAGCGAGCAGAGCTTTATGAGAGAGCAGGCTGCCAAATGAAGCACCTTGGGTAGGCTATTTTTAATTGATCCGTATTGTGACAGGTGACGGAAGCATAAAATAGCTCAAATATCTAGTAGAGCGGGACCCATGTGCTAAAAGATGGGTACTAACTTAATTTTTTAAATGTGATTAAATTGAGAGAGAACGCCAGCTGGTGCTGGGGGGTGTTATTAGAGGCAATTGAAACTTTTTGGTTTGACTCAAGCCTCACTGCATAAATCACCCCTCTCTCTTTCTCCTTCCCTGTTTATTCTCTCCCCTCCTTACCCGTTTCTCTCGTCCTCCCTGTTTCTTTCCTCCTTTTCCTTCTCGCTCCTTCCTCCTCCCCCCTTTTCTCTCCTCCTCCTACCCCTTCTCTCTCTCTTGTACTAGCCCTTCTCTCCCCTCCCTGCCCCCTGCTGTTTAACGCACCCGTTTTAATTCGCATCTCAGTAGAAGGGTGAAGGGATGTTATCCCCCTCTCCTCTCCCCTTCTCCGCCTTCCCCCTGGCTTCGGCGTTGTGATTTGCGTCAAGGTTGGCGTTCACGAGTCGGTGTCCCATACCGGTTTTAAGGGAGCGTCTGGAGCAGTAGAGGCTGTGTGTGCGGGAGACAGACAGACAGACAGTCAGTGGTACTAGTTTTACATCCCCTTCATACCTTTAAATTTTAAGTATTGTCCTAAAATTCGAACCTTAATCCTAACCTGGGGCCTTGCTTTAAGTTCTAGTTACGGACCGTACCTTAAATCGTAGTTACGGACCTTACCTTAAATCGTAGCCACGGACCTTACCTTAAATCGTAGCCACGGTTACGGACTTTACCTTAAATCGTAGCCACGGACCTTACCTTAAATCGTAGCCACGGACCTTACCTTAAATCGTAGCCACGGACCTTACCTTAAATCGTAGCCACGGACCTTACCTTAAATCGTAGCCACGGACCTTACCTTAAATCGTAGCCACGGACCTTACCTTAAATCGTAGCCACGGACCTTCCCTTAAATCGTAGCCACGAACACCTTGACCTTCTACCATCTTAAGCAACGATTTAAAGGTCCTTCTCTCACTTGGTAATCGGGATGCAGAATGACAACATCCCCCCCCCCCCTCCATCCGTCCCTTCACTAAACAAACTTGCTCCACAAATATATCTCTTGTCTTTGGTATATAGAGACATTTAAACCGCATCCCTCCGTGTTTGTGTCTGTGTGTTTGGCTATCTGTCTGTCTGTGTTATACCTTAGACAATGTTACACCGTTTTATTGTAGCTGTTATACTGGAAGGTGTGTGTGTGTGTGTGTGTGTGTGTGTGTGTGTGTGTGTGTGTGTGTGTCGTATTAAAAGTCAAAACTCTCTTAAGAAACACCCAGGAAACACTATAATCAAATAACGTAAGTGTGCAGGTAAAAAAACAAAAAAAACACTAAAGTTTCCCGACGTAGATATTGGCGGGTCAACTCTGATGTGATTTTATTAATATTCACGCTACGTCCATTAAATTTTCGTAAATTTCTGTCGACTGATTTAATGAGAGGAAAGTCACAGGCCAAGGTTAGGTGTGGTGTGTGCATCTGGTTTATATCCCGATGTGTGTGTATGTGTCGTTTTTAAGGTTAGATCAATGTATTATATTTTGTATTCAAGAAAATTTTAGATATATTTAGATTTTTTGGTGTTAATACCAAGAGTAATAAAGCACCAGGAAGAAATCTGTAAAACTAGCTTGAAACATCACATCAAGTATGCCCAGTCAAATTATTCCTGGGCGGCGTCAACCTTGTAAGCTGCTTATAGAGTATTATGGAGTGATGTTAAATTAGAAGTCGGTGTTTTGTTTGAGCGTCAATATGGCTCATCACTAGTTGTGGTAAGCGGGTGACAGCGGGCGAGGTTATTGGCGCCTTTGTTGTGGTGCAAGGCGAGGTGTGTTGGTGGGCGGTTAGTGTATACGGGCATCCCATGTGGCTGGGTGTAGATAGTGGGCGGTAGTAGCGGGCGGTGTGATACGGGCCACCCTCCACCAGTCATTGGTGGGCGGCGCCTGGCTCCCCACCCCACCCCTCCCCTCTTGCGTTCATTCCCTTTACTCAAGCTCATTAATAGATGAATAAACCAACGGCTGCAATAAAGAATGCTTACGGGAAGATGAAAGTGAAACTGCAAACAGTACGGTAAAAATTCAAGAAGATAGCTTGTATTGCTGGAGTGAAATGTGCGAGGCATACGAGTGCGTGGTGGTGGCGCGTGCGTGGCGCGTGCGCGTACGTGTGTTCGTATGTACGTGCGCGCGCGGGCGGGCGAGGAAGTGGTGAGCGTCGGGGGGGAGCGGGTGCGGCAGTGTTGGCTGAGTGGTCTGGTGAGCAGGTGGTGGCCGGGACCTTGTTGTAGCGCCCGTGGGAGTCCAGTCCGTGTGCAGTGTTGACCATCGCCGCCCGCCGTGGCCGCCTGCTCATTGAGCCCCGCACCGTGTGGTGCCGCCCTCTGCTGTGTGTGTCGTGCGTATAGTGTGGCTGCCGTTGTCGGGCGGCGGAGCAAGGGACGGTCGTAAGGTGAGCTCTTGACCTCCGCTCCTCTCCTCTCCCGTCTATCTTCACGCCATGGAAGATTCCGCCAGGTGATCCTCTTCTGTCTCGTTGTTGGGCCGTGGCCGCGGGCGTGCCGGACCTCGGTGAGCACGCCCACACGCCCGCGACCTCAAGCCATTCACGCTCTGGCCGCTTCCCTCCCCTGCATGTCTGCTGGCAGTCCACTCCTCTCCTCTTCCTCCTCGAGGTCCGCCATCAGGGGGGGGGGTAGGTGGTGGTGCTGTGTTGTCAGTGGCGGCAGTGCTAGAGTGGCACTCCAAGCTTGCAGTAGCGGAGCTCGCTGCCCACCTCCCGCGTCGGCACGCTGGCACATTTTGTTGCTCTGTTCTTTAGAGTTGATATGGTTTGTCGTGTTCTGAGGACGCAGTTGTTGTCTACAACCTGGTTGTTTAGTGTCTAACCTTTTGATGCCCTTCAGCAAAACTCAGAAATGTGTTGTACTCTGATGAAGGAAAGTTCACCTTACTGGATACTGTACCGGAAAAAAGTTATCGTGATGTTACCGAAGTTAGACAATAGGTATTATTCCTTATTTTGGCGGAGTAGTGCTGCGTGGTGGAACATGGAGGCAGTTTGTCTATACACTCTTCAACTAGTTTAATTTACAATCAGTTTTCTTTATATATATATATATATATATATATATATATATATATATATATATATATATATATATATATATATATATATATATATATATATATTACTAAGACAAGAAAACAATTTGTAAATTTTTCATATGTGCATTATTGTTAAAGGGATAGTTAGGACATGAAAAAATCACTTTGCGATAATTACTGGAAATTGTTAACAAGGGGCGTGGTGTGTAAGGAGTTGTAGGAGGCGTGGCTACTGTCTAGTGCAGGTTGGTCGGAGTGGTAAAGTTGGTGTCAAGTCGAGGTGGAGCGCTTGTTGCAGGCTTCACTTTATTGTGGGGCGCGAGGCGAGGCGTGGCCAGCTGGTGTGTGTGCGTGTTGTAGGTAAGACCGCCCACCTGGCTACACCCCTATGTTACTCTGCTACACATGACCCCTGTTCACCTACACCGCAATTCACACACCCTTTGTGCTTGTACACGTTGACTCGCATAACTTTTGTACATCCTTGTCCTTATGTACATTTACTCTAACCACTTTTGTACACACTATCCCTCCTCGTCTTTGTACACCCTGACTCACACTGATACATCCTGACTTTTATCGTTAACCCTTACTATCTCCACTCATGCCATTATTCGCCTACCACCTCCACCACCACCTCCTCCTCCTCCTCCTCCTCCTCCTCCTCCTCCTCCTCCTTTGTTGTACAGTTCAGCCATTTCTAACACCCATGTACAAAGTCTTGATCTCGCCCATATTGTGAACTTGTCCAGTCTTGCTCTTGCTTCCACGAGTCCGGTGTTCTTAGCCATACCAGTGTCCGTTTATTTATTTATTTTTTGGGTACTCTCCCTCTTATCATCTTTAGTCTCCCTCCTAACCACACACACACACTCACACACACACACACACACACACACACGCACACACACACACACTATCTCATTCCCGACCTTCCCCAAGTCATTCTGCGTGTCCCGCCTCTCGTACCATCTCACCGCACTCACTTATTGACTGTGCAGGCTTAAACTCTTCCCCCCTAACAACCTACACACTGACTTTACCTTATCTATCTTATCCATCTGACCTTCCTTCCTTCCTTCCTTCCTTCCTTCCTGGTCCATCCCTACTTCTAATTCCTATTTTATTATCCCATCGCTTTGTTACCTTTTTTTGATTAGTCCATTCTTACTCTCCCTCACAACACCTTGATAATCTCCCTCACAACACCTTTATAGTCTCCCTAACAACACCTTGATACTCTCCCTAACAACACCTTTATAGTCTCCCTAACAACACCTTGATACTCTCCCTAACAACACCTTGATACTCTCCCTAACAACACCTTGATAATCTCCCTCACAACACCTTTATAGTCTCCCTCACAATACCTTGATACTCTCCCTCACAATACCTTGATACTCTCCCTCACAATACCTTGATAATCTCCCTCACAACACCTTTATAGTCTCCCTCACAATACCTCGATACTCTCCCTCACAACACCATGATAATTTCCCTCAACTCCCTGATACTCTCCCTCAACACCTTGATTATCTCCCTCACTACCGTCCTCATCCATCTTGCTCCAACAGTCCCAGGTCGTGTCAGTTCTTCCTCTTCTTCACTAAAGCTCTCAAGCTCTCGCATACTTTTAACACGCTGACCTTGTCCACAGTTCCTTCTCTCACTCACACACACAGCACTCACTCACTCACTCTTGGTCTTACCCATTCTTACTTTGCCTCCCACGACCCCCTACACAGTGACACTCGTGCCTGGCTGGCCATTATACCACCCGCCGCCACCCAGCTATTTCTACCCACGCCCGCGCTCTTCATTGCAGCACACGCCAACCCGTCTCCACTATATCACCAAATGTGATGGTCTTTAACCCACCGTGGCCACGCCAGCAGCGCCGCCCTCAAAAGGCCAGAGCCAGTCAGCCAGCCAACCACGCTTGTTTCATACCGCTCCGGAAAGTTTAATCTATAGTAAAGGTCAAGGCTATGTACAAGAGGAGGAGCACAGCAGCTATCTTTGTTTGAGGGTCGTCGACACGCCAGCACCGACAAGACGACAACCAGCTGCGCCAGGGGGGGATTAATTTTGACGGGAATATGTAATCATTGGAGGCATGCCGCTCACAAACGTTGACACTGGCGCTGTTTTAGCCTTTCCCACAATGTGTTCTCTGCCTCTCTCTCTGAGCCTCCCCACCCCCCCCCATCTCCTCTCTCTCACTCTCTCCTCACACACACAGTGGCTCTCTCGCGCGTCCGTCCGCTTGCGGCTTGGCTGAAATAATCGATAATTGGTGACGCTGTGGGGCTGGCGTACTCGCTCCCCTCACCCACCACCACCCTCCACGCTCTCTCTCTCTCTCTCTCCATTCCCTCTACCGCCTTGCTCTCACTCGCCCCCCACTACCCTCTTTGTCTCTGTCTAGAGCAACTTTCAGACAGATAATCTTTTCAATCATTCGTGATGTGACGGGTGTGGATTCCACCGCTAGTCTTGTCTTGCCCCTATCTGACGCCTCGCCACCCTGAAAATACCGACTCTTAAATTCCCTTGTTGGAACATCTTGCACACGTCCAGCGTTTCCCTCCACAGTTTTTGTTTTTGCTTCCCACTAGTTTTTCTCCATCGTATGTTGAACCATTTTCTGCACCGATATTGTGAGATGTACGATGGTTATTTATCATATCTATAACTAGCATCTCTTCACCCACCATAAATCCACATTTTAGGTTTGGCTAGACTTTCCTGGGGAATTTCATTGTCCCTGGAGGAAGGGAAAAAAGTTATTTCTTTTGTATCTGGGTACGCCTCACAAATTTGCTTGTGTTTCTTGTTCCTTTGTGGCAAGATGGTATATGGGCTCTTGGGTTTGTGCCGCAAATAAGGTTTTTGCCTCATATTTGGGCTGGAGTGCGGTAGGGGGGAGGGAGACCCGTCTAAAAAAAGAGCATTTGATGCGACACACACTTTGTGTTTTACAAAAGAACAATGGAATCCATTGAGCAGTTTTTTGTCATTATGGTTGTAACGTAAAGTGCATCAAAATTAGAGGTTTTACTGGTTTCGTTGCAGTCGCTTGGCTGTTGTGAAGGTGGAGGTTTGTACAGTAGTGTTATATCTGCGTTATGCTCATATTTATACGCTGTACACATATTGTGTCTTTATTAAGTTGTGTCTTTATTAAGTTGTGTTTTACAGCAAATACAGTTATCAATCATACATACTCCCTCGAAGTGTTTATCAATCTAGTAAAAATTATTTTAGCAGGTCTGTGTAGGCAATAGTGCGCTCACTGGTCGATGCTGACGGGGTACTATGACAAGGGCTACAGACAACATCACTCAACCGTGCGCGTAATTAGTCTTCCTAATATATATTGCATTGTTATACGGCATTTTGTTTCACTAACAAAAATCGTCTTCCTCATTTTATTTGTTAATCTGGCTGTCTCTACACTAATTAGCCTTCATTATAGACGCTTCTTCCGTCTTTCGTTAAGGTTTGCTGCAACATTTTCCATTACTTAGCGGAGTGTTTGTGCTGGTCCATGTTTTATGTATAACGTAGTGTGCGTTTAAATTCTTGCCGTGTTTGCCTCCTTGATATTGATTAAAAGCGATGTAGGAGGTTTGTCTTCACTACTGTAGGAGGCGATGTAGTAGGTAGTGCCATATATACTGCAGGTGTTACAAGTGTGGTAGACCAACATGAAGGTGGTTATGGGACTGATGAAATACTCTGTTTTAGTTGTGTAGTGAAGGACTTGGGTAACCTACTAGTGTTAACAGCTGGGTGGGGTATCTTAGGTGAGGTTGGGGGATGGTCATTGTGTATGGGGGGGTGGGGGGGGGTTGCCAATGGTTCATGAATATTGGAGTGACGCGAGGTTCCCCCAGACTACTTTTATTGCTTTCCATTACACCCACTGCCAGGGTCTCTCTCCCCTCGCCCTCACCAAACCTTCCTATATGGAAATGAAAACTCGTTTGTCTTTACTTGCATTTTTCCTATTTTTGTTTTTTGTTTTGTTTTTAAGGTAGGACTTTTGTTTAGACTTCTGGAGGTTTCCTATTGGTCGGTTGAAGGTTGTCCTCAGTAGTTGGATGTTTATAGTTTTCCTCAGTATCGTATTGTTAGTTTTCCAAAGTAATATTTAATCCGTTTTCCTCGGTAATTTTATTTTCGTGGTGATCTTTGGCACAAGGCTTTAGAACGGTAGTGAACTTCCTCTACTCTGGAAAAGCCTCCCTCTAGTCTCCATCTAGCTCGTTAAAGCGTCCCTCTGCTGCACTGTGCTGGTAGTCATAACTCGGCTCGTGTTGATAACGTATTGTTTCCTTCAGTTTCCTCCCCCGGATGTGTGTCGTTGCCCAGTCAACTTGTGCGGTTTCCCCTTTCGCTCTAGA